TACTATTAATGTACCAAAGTTATATAATATTAAACGTCATTACGAACAACACAAATCGAAATATAACAATTACGAAGGATTAATGAGAGAAGAAAAGTTGAAAGAGCTCAAGTTAGGAGTGAAAAAGCAACAGTCCATGTTTAGTAAAGTATTGCAAGAAAGTGAAGCGGCGGTACATGCAAGCTACGTCTTGTCCGAGTTGATAGCTAAACATTCGAAGCCTTTTACTGACGGTGATTTCATCAAGGAATGCCTAATGAAAGCTGGAGAAATTGTTTGTCCTGGAAATGTGAAGGCTTTTCAATCAATTTCATTGTCTCGAAATACAGTTGCGGAAAGAGTTACTGATTTAGCCGCGAATTTAAGTGATCAGATCAAAGCAAAATCATCTAGTTTCGAAAGTTTCTCCATTGCCTGTGACGAGAGCACGGACATTAGTGGCAAAGCTCAATTAGCAGTGTTTCTTCGTTCTTGTGACAAGAATTTTAACATTTTTGAGGAATTACTGGAACTAATACCGATGCCTGGTACTACCACAGGAGAAGATATATTACTTGTGTTTTTGTTTTCTGACTTCTGCAGAAATACACTTGGCAACTTAAATTCTGTAGCTAAATGGTAGCTACAGCTCAGCATGCATCAATGAAAAAACAAGGGAAAAAGCATTACTAAGAAAAAAAAGTTAGAAAAAAAAATTCACGGTTCAAACATTCATCATTCATTCATCATTCAAGTTTCTATGCACGAAAGTAATAAGGGATATATATTTACTTGTGTTTTTGGACTTCTGCAGAATACAATCTACCTTTGGCAAAATTAAATTCTGTAGCTACAGATGGCGCTCCATCAATGACCGGGAAAAACAAGGGCTTCGTAGCATTACTAAGAAAAAAACTTAGTGAAATTCACGGTTCAAACATTCATCATATGCATTGTATTATACATCAAGAAGTTCTATGCACGAAAGTAATAAATATGGAGAATGTTTTGTCATATATAAAAAAGTTATAAATTTTATAAGATCTCGAGGTTTAAATCAGCGTCAATTCACTGCTTTCTTAAGTGAGTTAGATAGTGAATATTCGGGTTTGTCCTACTATACCGAGGTACGTTGGTTATCTTGCTCCAAGATTCTCAAACAATTCTGGGATTTGAAAGAAGAAATATGTCAGTTTTTAAAAACGAAAAATCAAGACGTAAGTTTGTTTTACGATCCAATATGGATACAAGATTTATCTTTCTTGGTTGATATAACCAAACACTTAACCGATTTAAATTTATCGTTACAAGGAAAAGATCATATCATTACGAACATGTTTGACATAATTAAAGCATTCAAATGTCAACTAGTTCTTTGGGAAAAACAACTTAAAAATGAAGATTTGACGCACTTCCCGACGTGCAGCATGAACAAATCAAGTTTAGATGATACTTGTTCGTATCAAAAATACGCAGAAAAAATTGCAAATTTAACAACTGAATTTGAAACGAGGTTTAATGATTTTAGTTCCCTCGAAGACAAATTTTTTTTTTTTTTTTTTTTTTGTTTTTTTTTTTTTCTTCGATTTTCTCAATAAGTATTGACTCAGTACCCAGCCATATGCAAATGGAGGTGATCGAGATTCAATGCAACTCAAATTTGAAAGCAAAATTCATTGAAGTGGGCGTGCCTGAATTTTACAAATATTTACCAGCCAGGTTTGAAAATACTCGAAAATTCGCATATGAAATTATTTCCATGTTTGGTAGCACTTATCGGTGCGAGCAGTTATTTTCAGTCATGAAAGGTAATAAGTCTCCTATTAGAAACCGTATTAATGATGCTCACCTTGGGTCAGCGTTGAAAGTTATCACTGCAAACAAAATTTCTCCCGAAATAGGAAAGATAATAGCAGAGAAGAGATGTCAAGTATCAGGACGTAAACATTAAATTTTTCTTGTTCTTTTCTATATAAATATATATATATATGTTTATTATTGTATTATTCGAAATAAATCTACGTTTCTATAAATATTGTTTTTTTTTTTTTTTTTTTTTGCCCGCCTAAAGTTAAACCTTGTTTGTTTGCCCAAGTGTACCTATGAGTTTGACATCCCTCTGGAATTTTGCCAACTGTTATTCGTCTTTATGGATAATTTTTTTTAAATCGAACCCATAGGTCCCGCAAGTTTTTAACTTGTTCGCATTATTTTTAATGATTCTAATTGTTGAGTAGTTTCTCTAATTTTTCTTGTTCAGATTTCCACCGCCAAATGCAACTCTCGTCAATTTGAAATTCTCTAGCCGCAACACAGCTTCCAACTTCTACTGCTTTAATTTATTCTTCGCTTAATTCTATCGCTTATCGAAAGCTTAAAAGCAGCTATAGAGCTTTTTCTTCGAGTAACAATCATAATTATAACAATTTTTTAAAAATCAACTAGCGCGAACGATAAAATAAACACTGCAGGAAATAACCCAGAAAGCAGTGAGATCTGTAAGTAACTTAGCAAGTAGGGCAAAGTCTATGTACAATACATATTCTTTGGCAAATGCTTTTTCGAGTGATGCAAACACCGAAATACCTTGTCTGTTGCGACCTACTTCCATCGAGTAAATAGTTACTTTTGAATTTACTGTGAAGTAGCAGAGGTGTTTCTGAATGTTAGGCGAAATTTGGCAAAGTTCCTGGGCCCTGTTAAAAAAAAGATTGTCGTTGGAGAACACAGACAAAACCAGGAAGTTCAGCAGAAAGTATATGCTTTATGGTGTCTTTACACCGAGCACCTCCTACCATAGTTAGGTGAGTTTCACACCAGTTCAAATTATTTGTTGCACTGCCTTAACACAGTATGAGGGCTTATATCAGCTAAAATGTCACAATGAATTCTACATTAACCGTTTCACTTGCGCATTACGATATACACTTGAAGTTTTATAGATACAGGAACAAAATTCCTTCAGATGTGCCGCAGATCTAACTTTTCAACTTTTGAACACATTACGGTACCAGTTTTGCCTTATAGTATTATTAACAACACAGTATATGAAGCGATATATAGTTTACAATTTACTTAATTATTATTTGCTAATACTGACAATGTTTTACTGTGCCAAATACATTAAATTTCATATGATTATGGATGTTACATGGATGTCTTATTCTACGTAACAGGCACATGCATAAATATGTTGTCTTTATTGAACCAACTTCAGCTGAAGCAACTAAGATCAATGAATAGACATGGTATCCTTATGTTGCAGGGTAACACTCATCCCAGTGTATTAAAAAAAAAAAAAAAAAAAAAGCTAATATCAGATTACAAAATTCTTGTTCATCCTCTGTATTCACTACACATGTCCTCAACACAGATGCACAAATTTGATTCTAGGAAAAAAAAGATTTCCTGACATCACATCCATAAGAATCCTTTTAGACATCGGATTGACTGTTTGTCTCAATATTAGAAGAAATGCCTGGATTCTCAGGTGACTACTTTGATAAGGGCATTCCTCTTTTAGTTAAGGTTTCGCGCATGTGAAAATATGGGCCATCGGTCGGTCATTTCAAATATACTATTCCAAAATCAACATGTTTTTTCTTCTATGCTACTTAGCCTTTAAACTAGGTGTACTTTCAAAATGTAATTTTTTAACAGACTGCATCAAAATGTCTGCAATGCCCAAATCCTGTTCAATTTAAGTTTCTTTATAAGATGTATGAAATGTTTCAAGCATTCAGTTAGGAACACGCTACATATTTATCCTAACAATAATTCGAATTACACAGGTATTCTTGTATTAGCAGAATTCCATAATACATCTAAAATGCACCTTTTATAATATTTGTTATCAAATCATCATTATCCTTTTATTGGAGGTGTTAAGGCAATAAGAATCAGCATAATACTCATAAATTTGCAAGAATAGGTTTCAAGGTTCAAATATAGAACCTTCTTTTTCAGCCACATAACTGCAAATGAAAGAAAAGCCTATGCTTAAGCGAGAACAATGACAGGAAAAAAGGGAAGCTACTAGCATCATGTGTTAATGAAAAATAAAAACAGTTAGAAAATACTTTTCTTTTGAAACTGGGATCATTAACTACAAGGGAAAATTTTAATGAATGTGAAATGCCTCAAGAAAATCGAATTCACAATTGGAAGATGATTTGGAATAATTTAAGCTGTAGAAAAATAGAAAATGTGGTTTACTGACCAAATTGTTGGGCAAGCGAGGATTTATATGTTTCTTTTTTCCTAAAATATGCCTCATGTTCCTTAGCAGAATATTTTAAGGCTTTCTTTGTTTAACCAAACCAAATTTAACCACATTGACAAGGAAACTTGTATATACCCCAGGAGTTCATATTTGGAATGGGGTCTTTAAGGATGGAACTGTGAATTTTATTGATAAGAGAAAAAATGATTCAAAAGTTAGATTTCTGTAAAATATGAGCAGTATTAGAGCTAATAACTGGGTGGATTAAATTTTTTTAGGTGTTTCCGAATTTATAAAAATACTTCAGTTCCAGTTAATGATCCCAGTTGTAATCCATCTTTACCTTCAGATTTTAAGGAAATCATTTCATAGTTTTCATTTTTTATTATCAGATGGCCCCAGCAGCTTGACTTCTGCCATTGGTATTGCCTCAGCACAAGCCTTTCTTCCATTAATTGCACTTCAGCAGTTGAAGAAGGTTCTATATGTAAACCTTTGAAACTAGGCCTACAAATTTATGAATATTATGGTCATGCTCGTTGCCTTAACACCTACAATAATCTTTACTCATTGTATTATTTTAACTCAGATAGCATTATTCTTATTTAAATTTTATTTATATTGGCATTTTTTATCAATTTAAAGTTTCTTAAAGGAAAGGTGGACCGGCAAAAATGTATTTTAAATTTGGTTTTGTAAATCTGAACATGCTTTCTGAAAATAATTTATTTTGATTATAAAACAGCAATAAATCAAAAATAAGAATAAAATAGTTTATTTTGATTATAACTGCAATAAATCAAAAATAACAATGAAATAATTAAAATTTGTTAATTAATTAAACTTTTGTTTTATTACAAATACAAATTAATTTCCATGTTATAGTCATCACAATTCCTTTTATTTTAACTAAAGAATTAAAATGACAAATGCTGCCTTGTTGGCATGGTAGCTGGCTTCCATAGCCTTGGGCCTCAGTACAAATCCTGGAGAAAGAAGGGATGTTTGTAAGCATTTTTGTCATAGGAGGCAATTAAAATTTTGTGGTGGAGAAAGTTCTTTCGAGAGGAGAAAGATATACACAGGTACAAGTTGAAGCAAGGTTGGCACCTGTGAATCCAAATAGTCATACTATTAGGTATTGGTGGGCCTTAGTACCTGCTAAGCTTCCACACCAGACAAAATTCCGAGGTAAAACACCCCCAAGGTGCAGTTCGAGGGTCTCCTACCTCTCTTATTTTGCCAACAACCTCTCCAGAGGATTTTGCCTCACCGTGTATTCTGAGTGCTCTCTTGCCACATGGACACTCTATGTTTACAAACATCTATACTTCTTTGGAATTCGAACCCAGGTCTTTTGATACAGCAGGAAACAACTAATCATTTGTACTGTGAATACAAATGATGTCCAAGGCAAAAAATGTCTATGTAAAGAAGGAAAGGCTCCATAGAGACGTAATGTAAACCAGTTTGTCTTCTATGCGGCTAGAAAGAAGAGGGAAAATTTGCCAAGAGATTTGGCAATGGAACCTGTTGGTGAGAATTCACCCCTCTGTGATGTACCGGGCCTGGCCGAGATTTTCTTCCTCCTCCACGTCAAAAAACAATGCTTCATTCTTTGATCAAAATTACTAGGAGCCATTCAGAGAGTAACTAACAAACTACTAAACCTCCATTTAATTTTTAATATAAGGCATTCAGTAAAAAAAAACTTTTGGGTTTTATTCCCTAGCCACATATAGAATGTCCTAAACCCAGTTAGTATACTTTAGCTTTAAAAGTATAACTATTCAACAGCTCTGGCTTAATTGAAAAGTTTTTAAGTTTTGTTTGGTATCAGCTCCATTCATAAGGCAACCAATTCCAGTCTCTAAGTCAACTCAGCTATACTTAAATGTGATATATCCATCGTGAATTGGGTTCGGAATAGATTTAACACAGACTTGATGTGATGAAGGGTTTTACATATAGCATATTAGGCACTTTATTATAATACAAAAAATAAACATATATAATTCCCATGAGTTAATAGCATAACGTATCTGTACCGCAACATTCTTTTCTTCTTGTAATCTTGACTCGGTGTCATGTGGGAAAACATGTGCCGTTCAGCTAAAGTGAACATCAGATCACGTGGTGAACATCAGATCATAACATGTCCCTCCTAAAAGATGGAATTGCATTTTTCAATGAACCGTCAAATCCACATGGAAACATTTCTTGAAACAACTAATGATAATAATAACATTCATGAAATTTCGGAACTTAATTAATCAATTATTACTAATTTGAGTTAAAGTTATTTCAATATAAATTCAATAATCTTAGTCATGCACAGATATAACATTCAATTAACTTTTCCTTACATCTAAATCTTTAAAATTGTCATTATTATATACACAAAATAATCATTAAACATTATACTTTACCAAACATGGCTAAATATTAGACATATGATATAGCATTAAACAAATTTCTACAATAAAGTCTAGCACTTTAGCTCTTCAACAAATAATCAAATGAAATAGTCAAAATGTTCATAACATTTAGTTATTGATTTTCAGTCATATCTCTAGTGGGAGACAGTTAATCAAGATAATGAGTCTGCATTAATATCATCTTTGCCTTTCCAGTATTAATCACTACATGAAATCGTTGTAGACCAATGTTGCAAACGAGAACTTTGTGAGGAATACTCAATTCTTCAATAATACTGCTTCTGGCCATCACAAAAACTGGTCCACAGCAGGCAGAACATATTTGTAGCCTTGACAGCTAGATTTCGCAAGTCCAATGATATCCACATTGATTATCTGGGATGGTTCATTAGGATGTTTCACTGGCATAAGGGGAACTTCATTAAAAGGACACTTTTTCACTTGAAATTGACAGGAAGTACAAGGTGTTATAATATTTATTTCCATATTTCTTGATTTCAGGTCAATAGAAAGAATATCTCAATCATTCAGCAGCCTTTTTGGTTCGCAAGTGACCTCCCCATAAGCCAGAATGAGCTAAGTCCAAAATTAGTTTTCTTCTTTCTTTAGGAATAACTAACTGTTGAACTCCTTTCTCCTAAAAATCTTATCTTTATGACACAAAAAGTTGTCAATAAAATGATTACTTCTTAGTATCTTGCGAGCATGTTTTTACGATGGATCACCTTTTTGTTTGAACCAGAAAGCTCTGAATCCGAGACACAATGATGTTGTTTCATGCTATGTTTAGAATCATCTTTACCTAACTTTTCATGTAGCAGAGCACAACATGCTTTTGTTTTCTTATATTTTACATTAATAAAGATTTCCCTATCATGGTTAAATATTTCGACAAAAGTTTCAGTTTCATAAAAAGACATTTCAATTAAACTCTCTCATAAGTAATGTGTACATCTTTATATTCAAAACTAAACTTGCATGTATCCTCTCCATTCAGCTCATTAAAAGCATTTAACGACAAAAGTCAATCATTATATAACTTATCAACCATTATACATGTTATAAAAATAGGTGACTTAAATTTACCATCTTCAAAATATTTCGAATATTTCAATAAAAGTACGTTAATCAATGGAAACTTTAAAGATTGTCCAAATGCTGATGTTAGAGCACACTTCTGAGTGGTGTATGGCATCTTTCTGGTACAATATTAGTCTTCACAACAGTCAGTTGTGTGCCTCTGCTATTGCATTACAGTCAAAAGTCGTTAATCCGGACTAGTCGGGACTTCGGCGATTCCGGATTCTCGATTTTTCCGGATTATAGATCATCAGTTTAAATCTCCTAATATGGCATGCAGAAATTCTAAAATTAAAATATGAACCGTAATTTATGAAATAAAGAACAATTATGATCTAAAGGGTATCAAAATTTACAAAAAAAAAAAGCTTAATATTTATTGTTTAATTTATTAAACATTTCTTCAAGTAAGTTAAGTTGCTTCGTTTATGTGATCAACTTTCTCTTTAATTCTATAACAGACATAATTTCTTGTTCAGTTACAAAGTTCCGCTGTTCAAGTCCCTTAACTGTGCCGAGAATACCGACTAACTTGTCAATCGAAATTTTTTCGTTTTCATTAACCTCTCTGTCACATTCTTTCATGTCTTTATCCATTTTTTGAAGCAATTCCACTTTTTGTTTGTTGGACGTCGAAACATACTTTCGTTTTGTAGATCCTTTGGAAGTTCCAGCATCGGAAATTCTATTTGACATAATCGAAAGTTCAAGTTTACTTTTATAAAATTGCTCTTACAGTCTGCAAAAAATAATAAGCGGGATCCAATGCGAAGATTAAGGAACATGCAATCATTAACATTAACTAAATAGGTAATTAGATAATTTTAGCTTACAAGTCCGTTATACATTAAACACGCAGGCGAAAACGTATTCTGCACTTGCGCACACGCATATGAGCAGTAGTCAAGGTCTTATGCGCATGCGTAAAACGTCTGTGCGCATGTGCCAACACGGCGCATGCGCAGAAAGTTTTTAGCTTTGAGGTCCGGATTATAGATCATTCCAGATTATGGGTTTCCGAATTAATGACTTTTGACTGTAATTAGTTTACCATCACAAGCAAATATAACAGTAAGTCATCAATTAATTAACCTTTAGCTTCTTGATTTACATTAAAATATTTTGCAGTTATGTCATCACAATTATTCTTGATTTCTTCCTTATTAAACTTTGTCATATCTTCGTGCAACAATATGTTACAATACTTAGAAAGACATTTTGAACATCTTGATTGAGAAGACCAATTTTTTATTCTGCAGTTCCTTTCAAAACAAAGAAAGCACCAATTGGAATATTTTAAGCTCTTTTTTCTTTCTTCCAGCAACATAACACATTTTACTGAAATGTGATCTTCACTTGAACAAAATAAACAAGGGGGGGGGAGAATAAAATGTTTTTCAGGCAAATCTGCATAACTCTTAGAACAGGATAGATTTAATGAAGTTCGTTCACAAATTTCAATTTCCCAATTTAGATATTTCATGAGCTCTTCGATATTAAACATTTCTTCATCTGCTTTCTGACAAGCAAAATCAAGCATTATATCCCTAGGAATATATTTTATTAATAAAGGATGAAATAAACTTCAGTACAATTCAGTTTTTTGATTCCTTATGAAATAAGCAACCTTACTTATGAGTTACAGGTATCATATAACTCTCTCAAAGCATGGATATCATTCAAACTTTGGATAGGTCATAAATTTAACTGTTTATGCATGAATGAATTACTATTTCCAACTAAATCTTTCTTTAAGAATTTTAAACACTTTGTCATAATTCTCTGCAGATCATGAAAGTCCTTTCACAGTTTTTAAAGCTACACTACCTAATAAATTAATCAAATAACTGAACAACTTTACGTTGATTTATTCCTGTATCAAAAGTATTATAAAATGTTTGTCACACTTCAGCATTTTAAAAAAAATTAATTCTGATTATTTTTGGCAATTTAACACTGTAATCGAAGCTTCTATTAATTACAATGAAAAAATACATACAACACTACTATGATAATAACTATTGGAAACTAGTGAATTACAGTCAAAAGTTGTTAATCCGGACTCGTCGGGACTTCGGCGATTCCGGATTATAGATCATCAGTTTAAATCTGGTAAGATGGCATGCAGAAATTATAAAATTAAAAATATGAAACCGTAATTAATGAAATAAAGAACAATTATGATCTAAAGGGTATCAAAATTTACAAAAAGAAAAAGCTTAATATTTATTTGTTTACTTTATTAAACATTTCTTTCAATATAAGTTGTTTAAGTTGCTTCGTTTCATGTGATAATACTTTCTCTTTAATTCCATTAAACAGATATAATTTCTTGTTTAGTTACAAAGTTCCGCTGTTCAAGTCCTATAATTGCTGAGTCAAAGAATACGGACTAATTTGTCAATAAAAATTTTTTCGTTTTCAATAACCTCTGCGTCACTTTCTTCACTATTGAAAGCGAATTATAATGACGAGGAACTTGATTTAAATCATATCAAAGAGAGTACATCGAGATGAAATACTACATTTAGTAAGGAATTATAAGCAAATTAAAATAAAAACATCTGCCCTGAAGATAAGGATAGTGCTGACAGATCAACTTCCAATTCATTGCGCGCTGCGTCGTTTCCCTCCCACTGCAGGGCAGTGTGGAAATTGATAAACATATTTCGGAATGATTAGATAATCAAAGGATATGCCTTTACCAATTTTTTGCAGCAATTCCACTTTCTGTTTAATGGACTTGAAAACATACTTTCGCTTTGTAGATCATTTACATATTAGTAAATATATATCGGAAAGTCTATTTGACATAATCGAAAGTTCAAGCTTAATTTTATAAAATTGCTCTAACAGTCTGCAAAAAATAATAAGCCTGATCCAATTTGAAGATTAAGGAACAACGCAATCTGCAACATTAACTGAATTAGATAATTTTAGCTTAGCTTATACCGTCCATTACGTGCATGCGTAAATGTATTATGCGCATATGCACACTCATATTCACAGCCGTAAAGGTCTTACACGCATGCGTAAACGCCTATGCGCATGCGTCAGCGCGACTCATGCACAGAAAGTTTGTAGCTTTGAGGTCCGTATTATGGGTGTCCGAATTAACGACTTTTGACTGTATTATTTTTATGTTAATGCCATGTCATTCTACATTCCATTGCCTTAAATAAAAGAAAAGTTCATTCAATAACTTCCTTCTCTGACAAACGCTATTTTATGCAAAGGTATAAAAAAATGTTACCCATTAAAAAATGGGCAATATTCATAAAGTAATATTATTCAATTTAAAATACGTGTCTCTATTTCTCTATTCCAAATCTATATTATCCTAACTTCAAAAATAAATTTCACTTTTTCAGACTGATTATAAATATTGTGAATTTATTGTGTACTATGTTAGCTCTCAACGTCGTTTTGCTATTTTTGGAATCTGGCTTGTCTCATGCTTTCGAAGATTGCATGCACAGAAGATATATAAATAATGAATATGAAATAATGAATTAATAATTGCAACACTTTAATATGAAGGGTTTTAAATTAAGAATAGATTTATTAAAAATCTCTGAGCTTAATATTAATATGCATTTACGGAGTTAACACAAAATGAAATACATTTTCTTTCTAGGGAAAAAAATCACTACATTTTTTATATTAAATTCACCACACTACAGTGTTGTAAAAAGCATAATCACATAGAAAATAAATAAATTATTAAATAAAATAAAAAATACAATGCACATAATAATCTTTTACTACTATCAAACGGTATGGAGGTGTACCTTCGAGCCCAAGTAAAGTGAAGACGTTCCTAAGCGTAGAGGAAATGATGTCATCGGAAGCTATATCCAATCACGAGGAGGGATTTTTCTCTATGTACATGGCACGGTATAGAATGCTTATATGCAACCCGTGATAATAGTTTTCAGCTAATTTGGGTTTTAATCTGCCATATCAATGAAGTCTGCACAGGCATCAAGCCGAAACTGCATTAGTTCCAGCCTTAAAGTATGAGGCACGAGTCGGAAGCAAAGCTTGCATTAACCCAAACTGTTGGTCACTATGAGGCGGACTGTCTTATGACCAATTCCCACTTTTTCCACTATCATTCGCACTGTCTCATGATGATCCTGGACCAAAAGTTCCTTCATTTTCTGTACGCTGTCTGAGGTGCAATTGAAGGCCGACCACTTCGAAGGGAGTCTTCAATGTGTCTTGTCCTTCTCGAAAGTATTTAAGGCACACACATATGCACTTCAGGATGACAGAATGTTCTTCATAAACTGTTATCAGCATTTCATGAGTCTCTTTCACTGATTTTCCAAGTTTGAAACAGAACAGCACATTCATTTCAACTGCAGTCACAATACTTTCACTCTACAATGAGCTGTTCCCACACGATAAACACATTCGCAGCACCACTGCTCAGGAACTCGGTCAGAACCATCTTGACCTGTCCATGCAGGATGTGCAGGTTGCACACTCTTAAGGGCCATTCACACTGGAGTTTATCTGAGCTAACAGTGTCAGTTCTATGTGTCAACTAGCTGCGCTATGCCTGCAGCGGAAAATCTGAAGATTTTTCAACTTGCTGCCCTATGGGGAAAAACTGGTTTTGGAGATGTGTCCATTAGCTCAGATAAACCCCAGTGTGAACGGTCCTTTACAGTTGTAAGCATTATGACAACATTCACCAAACTTTCTGGAACGAGACTGTGTTTAAAATATGTTTTTCCTGTATATTTTATTTAATAAAGAAAAGTATTCAGGCATTAATTATATTAAGACATGAATGCTAATCCAGTTTATTGTTGGACCTAAATTGCTCCATCTTAATTTATGTATCTAAATTGCACTGCATGCTGAAAGTTTACATATCTGGGTATTCTTCTGTTATCGGGACTGAATTCAGAAATGTATGTACGCATGGATGCATGTGTTCATGTATGTATGCATACATGTACATATGAATGTGTGTGTATACACATGCATATATTTCTGAATCTGGTCCTGATAACAGAAGAGTACCTATGTTTGTATATCTTTTTTATACTTCATAAAGAGAATATTATGAAAAATGCATTACGTTCGCAAATGTGCATGAATTTTAAGTTACTGACTATTAAAATATCTACACCTGATAAACTAAATATTAAAAATCTGCACCTGAAGCCATTTAAATGTCAATTATTTTTCATTAACTTGTATTAAATGGTGCTAACAAAATTACACAAAAAAAAAAATCTTTTTTTTTTTTAAACATAACGATTAATTAACTTCAAAGATAAAGAAACTTTTCAAAAAACCCCATTTAAAAATATGCAACTAAAACATTTACATCAAGAAAATTTTAAAAATCCTCAATTAAATATCTTTGTAAACTTCAATATTTTTATATATTTATATTTTTAACAAAAGAGATATTTTTTTCTGTTATTAATTTATCTTCAATACTTTATCAAGACTGTAAATACTAATTTATAAGAAAACATTTAAAATTACAATATAAAAAATAGGATTTAATAAATAAAATGAACAGATTCACATATACCAATATTACTTTAATGAATCCCATAAAACAAAATTTTAAAATAATATATGACAGTAAAATTTTTTCTCTTGTGGAAACATATAAATATAAATGGTTTATTATTTATTTCCATCAATTGACAATGTAATTTACATACCTCACACAGCATTGGCAGTAGGCTTCATGCCATCTAGCACAATCTCCACAAAATCCAATCCAACACAGTGTACCTCTCTAAATTCTAAGAATTATGTTACCACTTGCATTTGAACCAGTCTTGACCTTACATAATGAGGTTTTCCTGCATTACAAAAGTCTTTACTGCAGTTGTAACTAAAAGCTGTTACTAATCTCCAATCTCCTGGAGAAAAAAAAAAAAAAAAAAAAAAAAAACATACTTCTTAACTGTGTAGATACGCATTTCTTTAAATTATTCTTTCTAACATGACTTGTTACATACGAGTACATAACTCTGGAGATTTTTCTCCTATGTATTTTAAAATCACCTTTAGAACATATGACCTTTTAGATACCTTACACAGAAAGCTTTTCTGCTGTGTGACTCTGCATATGCCTCTTTAAATAATCCTTTCGACTAAATGATTTTTTACATACTTCACAAACATGAGATTTCTCTTCCATGTGATAGAGCATATGCTGGTTTAATTTACAGCTCTGACGAAATGACTTTTTACATACTTCACAAACATGAAGCTTCTCTCCTGTGTGAATAAGCATATGTTCATTTAAATTCCTCTTCCGACTAAATAATTTCTTACACACTTCACACTTATGAAGTTTTTCTCCTGTGTGAGTCAGCATATGCTCATTTAAATTACTCTTTCGACTAAATGACTTCTTACACACTTCACACATATGAGGTTTTTCACCTGTATGAATAAGCATATGTTCAATTAAATGGCCCTTTTGACTAAATGACTTGTTACATACCTCACATGCATGAGGTTTCTCTCCTGCGTGAAAAAGCATATGTTTCTTTAAAGCATTTTTCTGTCTAAATAACTTCTTACATACCTCACACATATGAGGTTTCTCTCCCATGTGAATTAGCATGTGCTCATTTAAATAACGTTTTCGACTAAATGACATCTTACATACTTCGCACATATGAGGTTTCTCTCCTGTGTGAATAAGCATATGTTCATTTAAATTAGTCTTTCGACTAAATGACTTAAGACATACTTCGCACATATGAAGTTTTTCTTGAGTATGAATAAGCATATGATTGTTCAAATTATTTTTATCCATAAATGCTTTACATACTTTACACACATGAGGTTTCTCCATAGTGTGAATCAGCATATGAGTATTTAAACCACTTTTTTGAATAAATGATTTCTTGCATACTTCACACACATATGGTTTATCCCCAGTGTGAATAAGCCTATGCGCTTTTAGACTACACTTTTGACTAAATGACTTCTTACATACTTCACACACATAAAGTTTATCCCCACTATGAATAACCAGATGCTTGTTTAAACTACTCTTTTGACTAAATGACTTCTTACATATTTCACACACATGGGGTTTTTCTCCTGTGTGAATGAGCATATGCTGGTTTAAAACAGACTTTTGCCTAAATGACTTCATACATATGTCACACACATGAGGCTTCTCTCCTGTGTGAATAAGCATATGAATTTTTAATTTACTTTTTTCAATAAATGACTTCTTACATACTTCACATACATGACGTTTCTCTCCTTTGTGAATAAACATATGCGTGTATAAACCACCCTTTCGATTAAATGATTTCTTACATACTTCACACACATGAGGTTTCTCTCCTGTGTGTACACGCATATGATCTCTTAAATGACCCTTCTGAATAAATGACTTCCTACACACTTCACACACATGAGGCTTTTCTCCTGTGTGAACAAGCATATGATTGATTAATTTACTTTTTTCAATAAATGACTTCTTACATACTTCACACATATGATGTTTCTCTCCTGTGTGAATAAGCATATGCGTGTATAAACCAGACTTCCGACTAAATGATTTCTTACATACTTCACACACATACGGTTTCTCTCCTGTGTGAAGAAGTACATGCATGTATAAACCACTCTTCTGACTAAATGACTTCTTGCATACTTCACACACATAAGGTTTCTCACCAGTATGACTAAGCATATGCTGTTTTAATTTATACTTTTGGCTAAATTGTCTCTTACACACTTCACACACATGAGGTATCTTTCCTATGTGAATGAGCATATGCTTTGTCAAATTATCCTTTTGTCTGAATGATTGATTACATTCCTCACACACATGAGGTTTCTCTTCTGTAAAGGTATCCATAAGAACTTCTACAACATTGCTTTTTTCCAAATGACTGGTTACGTATCGCTAAACATAAAGTTTCACCACATAGGTAAGTATAGGATTTGATTTTTTACAATTTGCTACATAATTGAGGATGATGTTTACATTATACATGGATATAAAATGGGGTGGTGAGCTGCACCAAAATAGTTCTTGGATTCTTCACAGTAGTTTTCAGTGTGCGAAAATACAAGTCTGACTACCTTGATAAAAGTATTAATATATATTGTGCATGAGAATTATTTAATGTACTACATAAGCATAGCTTGATTTTTCTAAAGTATTAGTTCTTCTACTATGTTAGCCAGTGCTTAACACGTTAGAGAAGTTACTTATTAAAAATTCCTATATAATTTCCACATTTCACGGCACAGTATTTTGCAATAAAGAAACAGAACTTCTACCAATATGTAAAACCAACACCCCCTTAAACTCAACACTTGACTGTACCAGCCGTTAAAGCTGCGTTCACATACTGGGCCGTTCGTGTGAAAAGCAGAACATCTCTTTACGACAACGACGAGAAAAATCGTACTATATTTTAGAGTGTCAAGATGTAGAAACTCGGCTTCTGATAAGCAAGAAGCGTCTATCGTTTTAGCCCGGTTTCGGAAGGAGAAAGGGGAAAAAGGGATTTCCTCCAAAAACTGACAATAGCTCACGATGGAGGATGTTTTTCACGTTTGCGGCAAGAATCGCATGAGATGCTAAAGAACTTGTGATAATATTTATTTAGCTTAGTTTCCTTAAAAATAAAAGTTGCTAAACTAATTTGTAAGATTAATTGTGTGGTAAATTTCATTTTGTACATTGTGTAAAAGTGTCTGAATGCAAATATCTTGTACGCATATATCATCGGATACGAGCAGGCGATCCTATGCATTACACTGCATTTTAACAAATTTTTTGTTAATTACGTTAGTTTAAGTCACAAGGAAATGATCAGAATCTGCTCTTCATTAGCAGTTTAGTAAACTGGCAAAAATTGTTCATTTAACTAACTTTGTCGCTCATAGGTAATATTTTTTCATAAATAATAATGTAAAAAAAAAAGAAAAGAAAACTTTCTAAGAAACAGGAAATGAATTGTAGAAAAAGGAATAATCTATATACATGTTATTTACATTTTGAGAGCTGACAGGTACTGTTCTGTGAAATGATGGTTAAATATAAAGCCTGTTTTCATGTGTACACAAACACGTGTGTACGTGCATGCATGGGTCAGCAGTTGTCGCTTGTATGCACCAAAAAAAAAAAAATATTAATTAAGGTACAGTGTATCATTCAAAACAATGATTATATGTATACATTTAAGTTAATTGCATATAATAATGAAAGGGAAAAGTGCAGAATCACCCACTGCTTGGCACGTTTTTAAGAATTGCACATACTCAGTATCCATGTGCACATTGACTTATTTTCACTTAAAAAAACATCCCAGAATTGCACAAAAATGGCATTGTGCACTCCCTTGTCTTTATCCATGTACACGTCGACCTATTTTCACTTAAAAAGTCAAAGAAAATTGACAAAAATTCATTTCTGCTTACTCTTGTAAAAAGTGCCAAACAAATATTTCTGCACTTTACCCTAATGAAAAAACTTATGAATTTATATACATAAAGTCAAAATTAATATTAAAAAACAACAGATTATGCTCTCATAATAATATATAATGTGAAACAGAAAATTTCCAAATTCATGATGCATGATTATTAGAAAAGAAATTACACAAAAATTTTAGATTAATAATGAAAAAAATTCATTTCTTTCAACAAATGTAAAAAATATTGTGTACTTTTGTTCAAACGTGTATTTGCATAATAAACAAAATTAACATTAACAGATTGAATACTCTAAAAAATGAAATTCTGTTCCTTTATATCATTAATGAATGCACATTATCAGAACACTCTATTTAATATGCTCATTACATTCAATCTGAACTAATGCAAGAAAAATCCTATAACCAGAAAGTACAACAGTTATGGGGATCAATGAAAAGGCTAAACTGCAAAGGAGTTTCACTTTTACCTAGATTCATACCTAGTAGAATACATGCCCATGTATTATATCTATCATGATTATATGTTTGAAGCATTATTAGTAGCGATTGTTGAACTGTGACTAACAGAAAGTAACTATTAAAAATCAATGTTCGGTCCTATATATATATGTGTTGTTTTTTTAAGCAAATTGCTTTCAGAAAAAATAATAAATACAAATTTATATAAAATTGCTTCTGTATGTATATATTGAGTAAACTGTGATGCAGATATGTAATGAATTCTCAACGTGCATTGGCAAATGTTTAATTCCCCCCCCCACACACACACACAAAATAACATTTGGAAGGAAATCAGACTAATATATATATCAAATATCTTTAAAAATTTATTCATTTTCAAATTATGCTAATGCCATTTTTACTCCCAAAGACCACTATAAAAACGAAATAGGAATAATAAAAGTTGGCAAATTTCAGTTTTTCATACCATACATGGAGGAATTCTGTTATTCTGTGAATGGAAAAAGATAGAAGCTTATGTACTTCTGATTATCTGATTTTTTATTTATTGGTCAAATACAAATTACTCAGCAGCATAACTTTTGAGGCAAGTGATGATTTTGCAAACATTCTTTGTTATAATCCAAGTTTAGTCCAAGAAAATTAATTTTTTTATGAAAACACGTTTTTTCTTCATACTTCATTTTTCTTCCACCACTGACTCATTATGTCATACTGTCACATGAAAAATGGTTCTTCTGTCTAAAACTGCCCAAAAAACAATTTAAATCCGTAGTTTCCTTGTACATGTCATAAGATAATTTCTGAACTACAACTTTAGTGAAATATTCCATATACATATTTTCTCTCATCAAATACATATTCCACTAAACCTTTATTTTACTTTTCTACAATTCTCACTACTGCCAGTATTTCCCAATTATGTTAATTCGTTAATGTATAGTTATTCACTCAGATATGTTTAGAAGGAACATATACATTCTCTATAACATCATGTTTCTACCCTGCTTCTGTAAGTATCTACACTTCTACCTTCATTGAAACACCTCAATATAGTTTCTTCGAAGTCTTTAAAACACAATAATGTACATCATTTGTATGACTCCATTATACAGATGCTTCACAGATTCGTAAGAGAAAGATACTTTCTGACTGAGAAAATGTGTCAGGAAAAAAAAAAAAATACCGTATTTGACGGCATATAAAACGCACCCTTATTTAGACGGCCACACACAAGGAGAAAAAGTTTCAATAGCGTGGTTTCTTTTAGTTCTCACGTTTCGTAAAAGCCAAATAAACAATTATTGAATGCAATTACCTTCATGTATAAAACTGTGTCCTTCACGTATAAGACGCAGGTAACTTTTAAATTTAGGAAAAAGAGTGTTTCTTATATGCCGTCAAATACAGGTAATTTGAATTTTAAAATCTCAAAATGTAGATCTACTGCCAATAAGATGGCAGAAAGAGATGGTGTGTTGAAAGATCTAATTATTTTTAACTAGAGGATTTATGAATGAAACTTTTCTTAGATACAAGTGTTGATTGGTCTAAGAGTTAAACTTGGAAACCGATAGTCTAACATAAAATACTTGAAACATTAAAGTACATATCAGGCAAACAGTATATAAGCTATGTATCAGTATTTCAAAGGTAGAGAATATTTGAGGATTACACCACTCAAATGATAATGTCAGACAGCATCAAATTTAATGAAGAGATAATATTGCTACAGGATAATATATGGCCATATGTAGCTCTTTTGATATTGAACATACTATCAGAAATTAGTCCATTAACACTGGACATAACTGCCTAGAGCTTAGATTAAGTGACACTTATTTTCTGAACATTCTCAGCAATAAAGTACAAATTATATGAAGAACTTTTCTGCAGACGAAGAAATTGAATTCTCTACATTTATAGTATTAAAGAGTAAGTCAGAAAGTTCACTGTTTCCTGTTTTCCAATTGTTTATAAAACACCAATAAAATTATAATTATTGTGCAAAACATAAATTTAATATGGGAGGAATAAATACACGATCCATAATAGCAACCCATTTGGGAAAATAGAATTAGTTTAAAAACATCTAAGTCAGTTAAAGTATATACAGTCAAAAGTCGTTAATTCAGACACCCATAATCCGGACCACAAAACTTTCTGCGCATAGGCGTTTACGGCTGCGAATATGCGTGTGCGCGAGCGCATAATACGTTTACGCATGCACGTTTAATGTATAATGGACGGTATAAGCTAAGCTAAAATTATCTAATTCAGTTAATGTTGCAGATTGCGTTGTTCCTTAATCTTCGAATTGGATCGGGCTTATTATTTTTTGCAGACTGTTACAGTAATTTTATAAAAGTAAGCTTGAACTTTCGATTATGTCAAATAGAATTCCCGATATATATTTACTAATATGTAAAGGATCTACAAAACAAAAGTATGTTTTGAAATACGAAATCTGTTTATCAATTTCATGCTGCTCTGCGGCAGGGGGGAGAAATGCCATGGAGAAACGCGCAATGAATTGGAAGTTGATCTGTCAGCACTATCCTTATCTTCAGGGCAGATGTTTTTATTTTATTTGGCTTATACAGTCAAAAGTCGTTAATTCGGACACCCATAATCCGGACCTCAAAGCCACAAACTTTCTGCTCATGCGTCGCGTTTACGAGAGCGCATAAGACCCTCACAGCTGCGAATATGTTTGTGCGCATGCGCTTTTAATGTGTAACGGAGTTATACGCTAAGCTAAAGTTATCTAATTCAGTTAATGTTGCAGATTGCGTTGTTCCTTAATCTTCGAATTGGATCCGGCTTATTATTTTTTGCAGACTGTTAGAGCAATTTTATAAAAGTAAGCTTGAACTTTCGATTATGTCAAATAGAATTTCCGATATATATTTACTACAAAGCGAAAGTATGTTTTGAAATCCGAAATCTGTTTATCAATTTCACGCCGCTCTGCGGCAAAGGGGGGGGGGCAGAAACGTCATTATTAGATTATGATAGATTAGAAAGATTATGTCAAATAGAATTTCCGATATATATTTACTAATATGTAATTTGTATCTACAAAGCAAAAGTATGTTTTGAAATCCGAAATCTGTTTATCAATTTCACGCTGTGGATTGGAAGTTGATCTGTCAGCACTATCCTTATCTTCAGAGCAGATGTTTTTATTTTATTTGGTTTATAATTCCGTACTAAGTGTAGTATTTCATCTCGATATACTCCGTCTTTGATATGATTTAAATCAAGTTCCTCTCGCTTCCGATAGTGAAGAAAGTGACCCAGAGGTTATTGAAAACGAAAACATTTCGATTGACAAATTAGTCGGTATTCTCAACACAGCAATTATAGGACTTGAACAGCGGAACTTTGTAACTAAACAAGAAATTATGTCTGTTTAATAGAATTAAAGAGAAAGTATTGTCACATGAAATGAAGCAACTTAAATAACTTACATTGAAAGAAATGTTTAATAAAGTAAACAAATAAATATTAAACTTTTTCTTTTTGTAAATTTTGATACCCTTTAGATCATAATTGTTCTTTATTTCATAAATTACGGTTTCATATTTTTAATTTTGTAATTTCTGCATGCATCACTTTAAATCTTACCAGATTTATATACATCTATAATCCAGAATCGCAAAAGTCCCGACGAGTCCTGATTAACGACTTTTGACTGTATTACTTTAAATTCTCCTTTCATTATAAAAACTTCTTATACATACTATATAAGCAAATGTTGCTTTGAATCAGTCTTCTTATAAAAAACATGACAACTGAAGCTAGAAGTGTGAAACTGAATATGTGACCTTGTAGAATGGGTTTGGGAAGGTAGGAGGAAGAACAGGGACAATTCTCTTTTTTTAGGGGTGGAAACAACGGTTAGAAAATCCTCAGGGGTCTCTCAGATCTCTCACAGCAGTTAAAACTTAAAAATGAAAAAAGACACTTGTAATAGAAATGTTAATATTCTATGTGAATTATAGACAATACATGTAATGAATAATACCATGACTAAGCACTTATAAAAGAAAACAGATTAAGTATTTCCTGCCTCGGCATTTCAGA